AGCCCTTGGGCGACAGAAGCCCGACGACCAAATTTGCAGAATTCGCCATAATGGCGGGGGCGCGCGCGCACTTCACTGTGGGCATTTTGGCCCAGAGCGCTAAAGCGACGAGGCCAGACCGAGGTTAGCCGAACTCCTCGGGGGCCAACGCCACAATGAAAACCATCGTCTCGTGTTTATCGTGCGCGAAGCGTGGCGCTGGCCGCCCCCAGCCTCTCCCTCCCCAGACGTCGGGCCGCTCCCACTTCTACCACTTCTCTGAGGCCAGTCCTTCGCCCCGAGTGGTTCGTGGACGGTCTCGAGGCCCAGCGAAGGCCCCCGGAGCAAGTGCTTTTCGAGCGTCGGACCTCTGGGTCCCCCTTCCCCCGCCAACGCCCGCCATCGCCCGGGAGAAGCAACAAAAAGAAGAAACATATTTTGGGGGGGGCTTGTGTTATACATATATGGACATACAGGACTGCATTGGCGCTGCGCGCCATGCACCTTGGTCCTTTGAGCTCTGCACGCAAGCGGAATGCGTGCGTGCATACATGCGCGCATGCATGTATACACGCGCACGTGCATGCACGTTCCGAATAAATGTCCAGGTGTATACAAAATAATTACATTGTTGTATGTCTGTATACAGCGTACATATGTACATACAAATTCATGTGTGCAAAGGTATGAGCATGCATCTGCAACTCGTACGGGGCATCCTCGTGCATCTTCGCTGCATGCCACGAGACCCTCAACGACTGGGTCACAATGTGAAATGTCATGGGAGCAAAATCAATGAATGCTGGCATTCGGAAACATCGTGGGGGTTTTTTCGGGGCCCTCGTGGGCCGTTTTGGCGCCTTCATGGGCCGTCCTGGGGCCTTCTTCGGCCGTCTTGGGGAGCTTGGGCCCGCTGGAGCCCCCTTTGGACCCATCTTGGGCACGTCCGGGGACCTCCCATGGCCCTTTTGGGTCTGTGCTGGGAGCCCTTGGGGGGCCTCTTGGTTCCATTATGGGCTGTCTTGGGGCTCTCGTGGGCGATCGTGGGGCCCGGCTCGGCCGTCTTGAAGCTTTCTTGGGGGCCTTTTGGGGCGTCTTGAGGCGATCTCGGGGGCTTTGAAACCGTCTTGAAAGCTGATGAAATCCGAAAGGCGAATATGCTAAACTTGTAAGTTTTACGAAGGGAATGGGACGATTTTTGTATTTTGAAGGCCCCTTGGAAAGCTTTTTGGGGTGCCTTGGAGGTCTTTATGCGGGCATTCGGAAACATCGTGGGGGTGTTTTCGGGGCCGTTTCGGCGCCTTCACGGGCCGTCCTGGGGCCTTCTTGGGCCGTCTTGGGAAGCTTGGGCCCGCTGGAGCCCCCTTTGGACCCATCTTGGGCACTTCCGGGGACCTCCCATGGCCCTTTTGGGTCTGTGCTGGGAGCCCTTGTGGGGCCTCTTGGTTCCATTATGGGCTGTCTGGGGGCTTTCGTGGGCGATCGTGGGGCCCGGCTCGGCCGTCTTGAAGCTTTCTTGGGGGCCTTTTGGGGTGTCTTGAGGCGATCTCGGGGGCTTGGAAACCGTCTTGAAAGCTGATGAAGTCCGAAAGGCGAATCTGTAAAATTGTTAGTTTTACAAAGGGAATGGGACGATTTGTGTGCTTTGAAGGCCCCTTGCAAAGCTTTTTGGGTGCCTTGGGGGTCTTTTGGGCCGTCCTGACGCAATTGGAGTCCCTCTTGGAGCGCTCTTGTGCTGTCTGGGGCCTCCCTTGAGCCTCTCTGAAGATCCCTCGGACCGCTCTGGGTCTGCTGACAAGGCGTTTGTGGGGACCCGGAAAGCAGTGACCTTTTCCAAGGACGTCCAAGGGAGCCCAAGAACCCGAGATCCCAGGGGTCCAGTTTTTTCTTTGGGGGGGGAGAGGGTTTCCCCCCACCCCCCGGGCCTGTAAAAATATAGGGAGAGGCATATATAAATGAAGGAGAGAAAGGAAATAAAAAACAAACACAAAAACAAGAAAGCCAAACAAAACAAAACAAACTCCCAGGGAGAGCGAAGGCCCGCCGCGCCTGCGGCGCGGCCGAGGCCAGCAGGCCGGGGGGCACGCTGGCGCTCCTGCGGGGGCAGGCGCGGCCGCCATCCGCACGGGGGCCCCGCGCGGGTGCGGAGGGGCACGGCCGGGTCCTGGCTCCCGGGGTCGTGGGCGCGTTTTTCTGTTATCCGGCGCTTCGACATTCGGGTCGGGCGAAAGGGGGGGATAGCAAAGGGGGGGTTTGAGAGGCAGCTCACGTAGCTGATTTTCCCGGCGCCTCCCGGCGCCGGGGGGCCCATGTATCGAGGAATGGGCCCCTCGGTGGGCCGAAACAGCTTCATAGCAGCAAATTTTTACACCCCCCTTTTTCCCCCCCCTTTTGCCCAGCCCCAGAATTGGGGGGAAGGGGGGAGAGGGAAGAGAGGGGGGGGGGGGGGGGGGTCTGGCTCCGGACCTCTGCTCAGTGCGACTGTTTGCAAGAGTGCGGCCCCAGGGGGAGACTCCACCCGCTCGAAGCAGGCACCCAAAAAATCTAGATCTACTCCATGGGGGGGGAGGGGGGGTGCGAGGGCCCGCGCCGATCGGCAAAACAATGCATAAAAAAAACGATCACGGTCGGGGCCTCGGTCCTCGAGCGATCGATCCTCCCCTCGTTCAACTCGCCATCGCTCGGACGTCCATTCACCGTGCATTTTGATGCTGGTGTCGTGCGTTGCGTGTTTCGCACATGATCCATGATGCTCCTCGATGGTCCTCGCCGACGTAAAGGTGCACACGTCCGAGCGATGGCGATTCAATCGATCGATCCTGGGCCGCAGCGCGGCCGGACCGCAGAGGGCGTGCGCTAAGGGAAGCAGCTCCTGGGATGTCTTCGCTAGGAGGCAGCTCTGGGTGAAGAGCGGCGAGGAATGAACCTTTTCGCCACTGGGGGCGCCTGTCCCAGGGCGGCTGGAAATATTACACCCTGACGTGCCACCGTACTCCGAGTTTCTTCATCAGCGGGGGGGGGGCGTCACTCCCGACGACAACCCCACATCGACCCCCGTTGCGGGCAGCCACCGCGCGCCGAAGGCGCTCCGACCCCCGTCGCAGCGCGACGACGAGGCGAGGTTGACCCCCGTCGGGGGGGTACCCCCCCATGCTTATTAAGAAACCCAAAGTAAGGCATAAGCTTTCCAGCCACCCTGGGACAGACGCCCCCGGTGGCAGAAAAGTTTATGTTATACCGTTCTTCGGCCGCTGCACAGGGACAGGCGTCAGGAGGCAGCTCCTGGGAGCGGCGCGGTCGCCGGATCCCTCCGACTCCTCGCTCATCTCTAGTCGGAGCCTCGATCCTCGATCGATCCTCGATCGACCGATACTCGCCTCGTCCATTCGATCGATCGTCGATCGTTCGATCGACGACAGGGACTGCGTCGGCGTCTGCAGCGTGGCCAGGCCACAGAGGACTCCAACATGGGGACTGAATAAATGATGTCGGAGGATCGCGCCGGGCCAACAGCGCCGATCGATCCCCCTCCCTCTTGCCCTCCACCTCCTCCGCCACCTCCTCCTCCTCCTCCTCCTCCTTCTCCTCCTCCCCCTCCTTCTCCACCCCTTCCTCCTCCTCCTCCTCCTCCTCCTGCTCCTCCTACTCCTCCTCCCCCCCCTCCTCCTCCTCCTCCTCTTCTTCTTCTTCCTCCTCCTGCTCCTCTGCTCCTCCTGCTCCTCCTCCTCATCCTCCTCTTCCTCATCCTCCTTCTCTCCTCCTCCTCCTCCCCCCTCCTTCTCCTCCCTCCTCCTCCTCCTCCTCCTCCTCCTCCTCCTCCCTGCATTCCTTTTCCTTATAGATAACTCCTCCCTGTCGCACCCCGAGGCCGACCGAAAGGACGGGCCGGGCGTTTCGCATGAGACTTCCTCACCACTTATGACCCTGATGCTGAAAACTGACAACAGTTTGTCAGATGGAGGGCGGGCCGCTTCCCGAATGTGCCTCTCGCCTTAGCGCCGCGAGCATTCTGTCTTATACGTTGCACAAGCTTCACAGATTTGAGGGCGTGTCGTTTTCAAAACGTGGCTCTCGCTTAGCGCCGCGCACACTCGTTTAAAACTTGCAAGAATTTCACGGGTTGAGGGCGGATCGTTTTCAAAATGTGGCTCTCGCCTTCGCGCCGCGCACATTCGTTTTAAACTGTTGCAAGAGTTTCACTGGTTCTCATGGTTAACGTACCAGAAATTGCGTTTCGGAGCCACTCATGACTGTCAGGGCGCACTAGTTATGTTGATTCGCGGTGTTGAAGTCCAGGAATGGGTTTATGGCACGATTCAGGATCGCCAAGACGCAATAGTCAGGTCAACTCGCGGCGTTGTAGTACTGTGAATGGTGTTTTGGCGCGTTTCAACATGTTCACACAGTTGTCCCTCAAAGGGGCAATTCCCTCGGTGGATGTGACTCCTTGTAGGGGCCTATGAAGAGGGATCTTGGAGAGAGGGTGAGTTTCAACATAGTTGATGAGTCTTGGGTTTACACTGGCCATCCCCCTCTTCCTCCTCCTCCTCCTCCTCCTCTTCCTCCTGCTTCTCTTCCTGCTCCCCCTCCAAACAATTTGTGCCACGTGGCCGCCGGATGCAATTCGTTTCGTTCAGATTTGGTGTCGCCTCTTCTTGCTGGTTGCTTTTTAAGCGACAGGTTGGACCTGAAACGCGGCCGTGCGCCGACAGCTGCCGAGCGGCACTGTCGCTGGCGCCCCCCTGTTGTGAAGTGCCGAGGCTTGCGAGTGATGTGGCAACCCCAAATTTCTCCACCGCTCATCTGACCTTGGTCACAACGGAGCCCCACCACCACCACCACCACCACCACCACCACCACCACCACCACCACCACCACCACCACCACCACCACCACTGCTCCCCCCCCTCCTCCTCCCCTCCCCCTCCCCTCCCCCTCCCCCTCCCCCTCCCCCTCCCCACCAGTCCCCCCCACCCCCTCCCCCTCCCACCCTCCCTCCCCCCCCCACGTTTGCCGCCGTCCTAACCGGGGAGACCATGCGGCGCACGGCGCCCCCCGCCGCTGCAGGCGCCGCCGAGGCGCTGCCGGCGGCGCAGGGGCCGGGCACGAGCCCAGCGGCTGCTACGGGGCGGACCTGCTGCTGGGGGGCTGAGGGCCAGCGTTTTTCAATCGCGGCGTCTTCCCTCCATCGGGGAATGAACGATGGCGTAAACGTAAACTTTCGACGTTCTGCGCGGACCTCCGAAAGTCCAGGTGTGTACTTGTGATATGCTGCTCCGCGCGGCTCCATTTCGGCCTCCGGGGGGGCGCCTTTCAGGTGCCAGGGCCATCACTGCAGGGGTCTGGCACCCAACAGCAGTACGGGGTCGGGCGCTCCGAGGCCGCGGACTGAAGGAGGAGGAGGAGGAGGAGGAGGAGGAGGAGGAGGAGGAGGAGGAGGAGGAGGTAGGAGTAGGAGGAGGAGTAGGAGGAGGAGGAGGAGGAGGAGGAGGAGGAGGAGGTGGCTCCATCGCTCCAGGGCGCCGCACCCGGCGGCGCGGCGGGGCGCTGCGCGGCCCAGAGTTCTTCAAGGTGCCGAGGCCGCCCCGGACTGCTCGGAGAGCCTGCCGGGGACTACTCGGGGTCTGTGGAGGCCGGCCAGGACTGCCTCTGGGTGGGGGTGGGCTGTCCGTGCGCAGCCCGAAGCCCTGCCCCAGAACCCCCCCCCCCCCGTAGGCGGCGAGCGAAGGGGGGGAAGTGAGCAAGGGCGGGCCTGCTCAGAAGGCTCGGAAGAAGCCCCCCGGCCTTCCCAACAGTTTCCTGAGCCTTCCCCGTTTCTGTGAAGCCTTCTCAGGAGGCGCGAGGGCGTCTGAGAAACCCCGCCGCCGTCTGAGAGGGCTTCTTCTCCTTCTCACTCCCCCCCCCCCTCGCTCGCCGCCGAAACCCGAAGCCTTGCCCCAGACCCCCTCGCGTCGGGAACAACATCACGACGGAGGAGTCTTGACCGTGATCGGCCTTTAGGGAGGTGGCAGGGCCACCGCACGCGCACGGGCGCGAGGGGGCAGCCCGGGGGGGGGGGACACATCTCAGAGGAAAGACGCCGAAGCACCAAGGCCGCTTATAAGGAACCTCCTTGAGGCCTCGCGCGACAACGTGAGACAATTTGCCTCGGATCCCCTTGCGTCGGAACATGGCCTCGCGAACGTCAGCCCAAATCTGACGGGGCGGACGTGCGCACTGGATAATGCAACCAGTGCGCGCCGCGCGAGGCCTGAAGGAGTTTTCTCGTAGGAGGCCCATACTGCGAAGCACGAGGAGGAGGAGGAGAAGGAGGGGGAGCAGGAGGAGGTGGAGGAGGAGGAGGGCGGGGGAGGATACTACAGTCCATTGTGTGCCAAAGCCTTCTCAGGAACAAATCTCGGGGGTCGCCAGAGGGCAAGGTGGGTTGCGCTATGGGGCGCAACTGGCCACCAATGAAATCCAACTCTGCTGTGCGACGAGACCGTTTTGCACCGTCGGCGACGACCAGGGTTATCCAGTGGGGGTGTGTGGTGGAGGTGACGACCGATAACCGAACATTTTCGCTGTGTGCAGCCCCACATATGCCCGCGCGCACCGGTACTGCGCACCCAGACCTGCGCAACCGACCAGGTAAGCTCAGCCGGGGGGGAGGGGAGGAGGGGTGGGCAGGCGGGACCGATAGCCTGGGCGATCGCAAGACCCTTACAAATCAGTCTCGACGATCAGTGCCCGGGCAGGGCGGGGGCGAGCACATGGCTGGGGTCAGATTCAACCCTCCCAGGGGCCGGTGTGGTTTACAGAATCCCACCAGCCCTCCGGGCGCAGGTGGTCTAACGATGTCTTTCTTTGCTCTTCCGAAAACCCCTCTTCCCCTTAGGGGAGGGGTTTATCATTGTTCCCTATTTTTTATTATATAATAAAAAAAAAAAAAAAAAAAACCTCCCCCACCTGGCCGGCAGCCAACCCGGAACCATGCGGGCACCCCCCCACCATTCCTGACAAAAAACTATACAACATGCACATTGCGGGGCCCACCCTGCCAACACCCTCGACACTCCCTGTCAAAAACAATACTGTACGAAGTGCACAGTGCAGCAAGATCTGGACAGTGCGCTGGCGCCCTGCGAGCATGTTGCATTGTTTCGTTGACAAGGATGGCGGGGCACCTTCAGTGAAGCCGCTTTGCGCAGGACCACCATCCGTGTCAAAAACAATGCAAACTGCACGTTGCGAGAACGTCGTGGGTATTGTGCTGGCCACCCGCGATCACTTAATATTGCTGTTTGACAGGGACGGCGGTGGTGCCCGCATGATGATGCCTGCTGTGCGCAGGCCCAGAACAATGCTGACGCCCCCCCCCCCCCACATCAGCATCTGGACCATGCGGACGGGGGGGCATCATGTTTTGGCCAAGGATGGCACACAAACCGCATGTGGAGCTCGCGGCGAGCGTCGCGCACCTGGCGTCCGCTTTGGTTCCCAGTGGCTGTCCATCCAGTGGCGACCCCTGGCTATGCTGAGACTCGGATGCCACTTATGTGGTGGGAGGGCGGGTGGGAGTGAGCTAGACGGCTTGCGTGCGGAGAGGGTGTCTTGACCCCTCCCCCTCCCCCCTCCCCTGGACCTGGACGGGAGGGGCCGCGATCGGTTGAGGGGCCCTTTTTCGGCCCCTGGGAGGGCCAGTGTTTGACACCCCTCACGAGGATCGTGGTCACTGAGAGGGGGGCCTCGATCGGGACCCTCCCTCCTTTGATCGATAGCCTCGAAGATGGCCCCAAGAGGCGCTCCCGGGCTCCCCAAGAGAGCCCCAAGAGGGCTCCAAAAGGATCCGAAAAGGGCCCCAAGAGGCACCCGAGAGGCCCCCAAGTGGCTCCCAAGCGGCCTCAGAGAGCCCAAGATGACCTCCAAGATGGCTCAGATAGCCCAAGCTGGCTCAAGATGGCTCCTAAGATGCTCCAAACGGCCCCAAGACCGCTCCAAGAGCGCTCCAAGAGAGCCCCAAGAAGCGGTTTGCCGGCTCCTGAGGGGGGAGCTGAGTTGGGGACCCCTCCATCCTGTAATCGATGGCCTCCAAGATGATCCCAAAAAGCCTTCAAGGGTTACCAAGAGGGTTCCAAGAGGGGCCCCCAAACTCCCAGAGGGCAGGAGCAGCAGCAGCAGCAGCAGCAGCAGCAGCAGCAGCAGCAGCAGCAGCAGCAGCCGCAAGAATACCTCTACGTAGATGGTTCCATGAGTCCTCGTCCGCGTCGTCCTCATCCTAGTCCTTGTCCTCCTCGTCCTCATCCGCGTCCTCCTCGTCCTCCTCGTCCTCCTCCGCCTCCTCCGCCTCCTCCGCCTCCTCCTCCTCCTCCTCCTCCTCCTCTTCCCCTCGCCCCCACGCGGCACCCAGGGATGGCCCGAAGAGGCCATCCAAGGCCACTTCCTTGCTCGCTTTTTTTCCCTAGATGTGTCTCTTCGTCCCTTTTCCCGTCAGCTCTGAAGGGCAGGGTTTCTGAATGGGCTGGTGGGGGTACGCGAAGCGTGAAGAATTACCCCAGCAAAGCACCCTCATAGCAGCAACGATAAGCGAGCTGGTCGAGGACTAGGTCGGCGAATGAAAACGTGCATTCCGAGGCACATCATGAGCACCTCTAAGGGAGCGTAGCCGTCCGGACCAACCGTGTAGCCAACAACATGTGGGCAGGGACACGGTTCCTGCAGAAATTGTAAGGAAAGTCATGGCGAAACGGGTCCTGGACCAGACGGTCTAGAGCTCCCCACCTCTCCTGCTGGACTCTACCATTGTCCTTTTGTACCGCTAACGCCACCAAGAAAAGCACTCCTCTGAGAGGGTATTGGGTGCACGGAACCAATACCAGTGAGGGCCTGCGCCATCCTCACCCGCGACCCTGCTCGATGACCGCCGCTGCCCCCGAAGCATCCAGTGGCGCGATGGCCCACCTCTTACTAAAGTAGCAGCCGTGTGCAACGCAAGGCTTTAGCCAGGCGTTCAGGAGAGGCGGAACTAAAAGGGCGCGCCGAATCTCGAGCCACTCTCAACCCAAGGATCTTCGGTATAGCATATCAAACAGAACAGAAGAACGGAGGATGAGGAGTGCAGCTCGGCAACCGTCGTGGCCGTCGGCTGCGAGGCCACGGACCCCTGGCGCCAACTGGGGGGGAACATTAGGGGGGGACAGGCTCAGGGGAAGAAACATCGAGCTGGAATCGGTGATACATCGCCGATGGATCGGGGATAGGCCCCTGATCCCCAACCCCCACGTCCAAGTTGCTGGGCGGGAAGGGCTAGCGGGTCCCCACAGGCAATGAGTGGGCACTTGGGGGTTGATATGTCCGCCCCTGTGCCTATCCCCCCTCCTAACGTGGCCCCTTGGTTTTCGGGTCATAACTCGGGGGCGCGCAAACATGGATTAGCGGCCCATGGATTTGGCGCGCGGTCGCCAAATCCATGGATCGGGGAAAATGCGATCCCAAACTCTGTCGGTGCCGCCTCGCTCGGCGGCGGAAATCCGCGATGCCCCATGGAAACGGCACCCGTCGCGAATCCACGCCCCCTTGACCCATGTCTGCGACCGCCCGGAGAACTCGTCGGGGATCTTCTGACCCGGGTCAATCCAGACCCGGGTCAGCAGGAAACCAAAAACTGCAATGCAGGAAAAAAAAAAACTGCAACGCAGGTCCTCGCAAACCCGGGTCAGCCAATACGCGCGGCCGCCTCGCGGCCACGAGCGGCTCCCTAACCCGGGTCAGCCAGAGGGGGCCTTCGCAGGATCCTGCAGGATCCGGCGCTCTGGCTGACCCCCGTTTGCACTGACCCCCGGACTGCCGAGTCTCGGCAGTCCGGCGGCCGTCCGGGACAGCCCGGGCACCCCCCGAGAGCCCCTTGGCGAGGCGCAGCCGCCGGAACGCGCCCCGAGGCTGGAAAGCCGCCGAGAACCGACGAAAGCGCCTGAGGACCTCCAGCCTCGAACCTTGATGATGCAGCCCCCCGATCGCCCCCCCCCTGAGCCTAGAACCTTGATGGTGCACCCCCCGATCCCCCCCGAACCAAATCAGGAACTTTTGGAACCGCCACCGCGCCGCTGGGCACGGAGCGAGCGCATCCTGAGGAACTTTGCCTACGTAATCCCCTGA